TATAATTTAATTAAAGATCTTCCAATATATTTCTATATTTTGTTCTTCAATTTGGCTGATTGCACAACATATTTTTACTTAAATTATGCACTTTTTTATTTGATTTTTACTTTTTTCAGTTAGGAACAACTTGATGGTATGAGTTCTTCTTTTCTTTGTGCTGCTTGATTGATTCAACTTGAACTTGTATACTTGCACCACTTTTAATTCAAGCTATTGGATTCAGTCCATGATTAAGATCATAAAGGTATAAAGATAATCAAATGATAGACTTCGATTTTGCTACATTGTAATGATCTTTAAACTTATCTAATGCTGTTTATAATGTTGGTCTGGCATTTTGATAATTTGACCTAATAATTTTTAAAAATGAGACAAAGCCAGAAAATTTTTTTTTTTTTTTGCTTTCACTAAGGCCATTAGTTATTGGTAGCTACTGCCTTTATTGTAAATTCAATTATAATTATATAATTTGTACAAGGTTACCTCTATACTACACTAGCAGATAGTGTACTAAGCTCTCATACATCTAATTAGATGCTATTTAACCTAACCTTAACCTCTCTGTCTGTACGTCTGTCAAGCTGTTACACATTTCAGAGTATGTCACCTGACTATAGAGCTCCAGAGACCCTTCTGCTAACTAACTATCTACATTTAATCTTTGCTAACAGGGCTGACCCCTGTAAAGTTTACCCAAACTTTAGTAATGACTTCACAGCATATCCCTAGTACTTATAGTATATCCTGCTTCTGAACCAGACTCCCAATCCAGATAGCTTAATAGGATTGTGACCTGTCTCTGATACTCTAGAGTCTGCCCCCTAAGATCCTTTTCCTTCAGTTTGAGACTTCTGTGGCCTGGTTGGTGATACTCCTTATCTGAGGTTCTTGTCTGCCTGATTTCTTTTACATTAGTATCCATTTCCTAGGTCTAGTCTTTACAGTAGTATTGTCAAAAATCTGTGCTATCTCTTTATTCAGGTTTTTCCAAATAGGCTTCAGTTTTTTCAGTTTACAGATTTAAATAGCTACATGGACTTATTTTGTGTTTGCACTATCTAATGCTGGTTTGCATTTCTCTGTATAACTCTAATATTGCACAGATGCTCTATAACCTGCCAGTTATCTGGTACGACTATGTTACAGATACTGATTCCAACTGATTGACAGATTGCTGTTGCTGTAATACCAGACACAAGGACTTATTTTGGGTTTGCACCACCTAATGCCAGTTTGCATTTCTCTGAGTAACTCAAACATTGCACAGATGTCCATAGTACCAATATACATAGGTGGTTTTCCAAATTTTTGTTGTCAGTAGGTTTTGAACTTCCAACCTACCACTTGTAGAATTGACAACTTATCCACTTTATTAAGTCACCACATCCTAAGCCAAAATTATTAATTTCTTTATTTTCTATATTATGTTTGCTAGATTCTCTAAATTATCTATCAATTAAAAAAAAAAAATTAGTAGTTATATCAGCAAATAGAATAAAAACAGATATACAAAAATAAAACTTTGCTTGGTAACTAATATTGATATATTATTTAATATTTTTATTTCATTATATAAAATTTCTTGATTTAATAGTATTGATATTTTCTGATTTTGTAATGTCGATTATGCATATAATGATGTATAAAATGATTTATTACAAGTAATATAATCTAAAAAAGATAGTATACATATTATAACTTAAAACTAGTATAGTTTCTAATTAAATTTATACTTATCAAATGTTATGTAGACATAGGTTATTCTGTCATCTAGTAATAATAATAGAATAAAGTTGGCAATTGGAAGGTAAAAAACATTCTCTTAATGTTTACAAGGAGTGTCAGACATACCAACAGCATATGTACAAGTGCCAATTTCACTATTTATGATATAAATAGAATTTTTCTTGATATTTGGGACTAAAAATTTATGATTAATAATAGTTTTTTGAATAGAATTAGCATTCATTGTCTTCCATCCAGGGCAGAGAAAATGTCTTGCAATATATAAAGTCTCTAAATACTTATATGCAATACTAAATAACCATCTTTCATAAAATCTTTCTATATTCATAATTATAAAATAAAATATTTAAACAGAATTATATGCTTGTATTTTTGCAAACACAATGTTCTTCATTATGCCAAAGCTCTTTTCAATATAATTCATTATATTATTACTATGTAAAGGTAGACTAACATAAAAGGATAAGGCCCAAGATTGTCATTGTTCTCACAGAAGATTGAAATGTCTTTGTAACTGTGAATACTTGTCAAATTCTTGTGTAAATGCATTGTAATATGCTTCTATTTCCAAACTTGACAAAACATACAAGATTTGTTTTATTTTTTATATAATCAGTACACAATCTTCTTTATTAATTTTATGACTTGAATTATAAAGCCATCTTCAAAACATCTGCAAAAAATAGAATGTGCAAAGAAAACAGATTCTATTTGGTCAACAAAATTGCAAGATTTTATATTCTGCATTTGAATTATCTGCTAAAAATACTATTAATCCTACTTGCGACTCACATTCATCAAAAGCATTTGATGGAAAAATTGTTTTTAATAAATTTAATGACTTCTCTAAAGTGATTTCAAATTCATCAAAAATAAAAAAAGACCAAGAGGGAGAGTACCAGTCACATAACTAGTATATAAAAATGTTATTAATATATTGAGAGGATCAAAAAATGCTGAAGCATTCATATAACAAAACTTACTTGCTTGAGAAACCTTTTCATGTACATGATACATAAGACTTGTTACAATACAAAGGATAAAGGATTTTTCAACTCATGAATCATATTCTTGCAATATAGCTTTCTTATGACCTAACTTATTATAATCATCAATAATAGCTTTAAGACATTTAAACATTGGTTCTTCATTACTACTATTTAATACTTCTTCTCTATATTTCTGAAAAAGGTAATGAACATAATTGTAATCAGTATTATTAGCTCGATCGACAAGAATTTTCAATAATTCTTGATCATTTGCAACATTGAGATACAACATATCTTGATATACATGTAATGCAGAAGAAGGAGAGTATCCTTCCTTAAATAAATTTATTAACATCTCACAAACTTCTTTTTTAATATACTGAAAACTCAATGCTTCCACAGAGTTTATGATATGATTGTGAATATACTTAAAGTTAACTTCTAATGAATGGGTATGTAAAAGTCTTTGACACTCTAATCTTAAATGGATAATCGCAGTACAAAAATATCACATGCATGTTATGAGTTTAGGCATTTAACTAGAAAATTTTCTTGTTTTTTCTTGATTTCATGACTGTGCATACAATGCCACTTTTCACGAAAAAGAACTCGACTCCCTTTAATATCATAACCTCTTGTTTGAGGCATTGTTGTTTTGAAGTATGATTGAAATATTGCAACCCATCCACATGCACCTTCTTTATCATATACATCTACAAACATATCTAACTCGAAATTTGAAATGTTAAAACCCTCTCCAGTTTGGTACGGCAACAAATTATTAAACCTTTTAATTAAGTATGTATAATCCTAGAGAAGAATTGGCTTTAAAACTTCCAGTAATGAATTCCAAGCAAATGTCTAAAAATATATAGACCTGATCAATTTTTTTTTTTTTTTTAATAACTTAGTCGTTTTAGTAATAGAAACCTGCGGTACGCTTATATTTGAGATATTATTATCGTCCATATTTAATTGTGTAACTTTCACCGATATTAAGTAAAAATACCCAAGCAAGTTCAAAGAATAGAGTAAAACGAAAAAAAATTCAAATAGTAGGGAGAAAGAAGCGTGGGTATTGAGATAAGTTATCGTTATACATCTCTTTATTATCAATAATTTAATAATTACTCTATTACTAAGCAATTATATTAATTAAATATCGGACTTTAATTTATGCATGATAGTCGAAGCCTGACGCTACGGGTACAGACGGTCAGGTAATTAACATCATCGGCGTAACCTGTCACAGATTCAGTACGTGCAAACCTGATGCAGCGAATACAGTGTTTACTGCGGTAAACATAACCGTTAATTCGTTACTGCGCTACATCGGTCACCTCCTTCCTGCGGCTCACATCAGCAATTGAATTGGACATTAAATTTAAAGTTTAAAATGCCTGGCCTAGTGATACAATGACCTAAAACAAGTTAAGTGGAACTAACTTTGTCTCGTTCATGACGTTATTTTGGTCCTTTCGGGACTTTTGGTTCAGAATCACTAACACTAACCCAAAAAGTACAATAATAAAGCTCATACTTGCATTGGGGACTCTGAACACAAAAAAAATACAACACCAAAAATGGTTATGGTAGCACCAAAAGGCCGTGTGAAGTGAAAAAGCAGCTACGTACGTATCGATTTAGGTAAATAAAATGAAGAGAAAAAAGTAAAATTTGACGATGCGTCCCTTTTCAAAGCTTCAAATACGTATTACGATGATCTTTCCAGAATTAGTCCAAACGTGTAAAATAGATGAGATAGTAAATTTTACAACGTACACGTAATACACAGATTTCTCTAAATGTTTGTAAAGAGATCTTGCATTTAAGGAAGCTTTTATAAAGCATGCATTTAAGGAGGTTGCATTTAGAGGGATTAGTTATAAAGAATATCTTGAGCTCAAGTATTAATAACTCGATGCTTACGTACTTTAAGTATATTAATAAAACTCCCGTTTTGTATTATTTCTTCCAAATTGTATACGATTAGCACATCAAAAAAAAAAATTGGCAATGCGACGCGGACGCAATGAGTGCTGCGGTGTGAAAGTTCAGTACTGTATTTAATTACGTAAGAATTTTAAGAATTTTGCAACAATCATACGTACGTATTATTATGCATAATAGTAAAGTCTGTACCCAGTAACATGTTAAATATAGAAAATCCTTGTTGCTGCGCCAAACAGCATATATATATAAAAGAATGCATATTTCATTAAGGATGCATATTTAATTCGAAAGTACATACATTCCTCAAAAATGTCTGACGACCTACTAATTTCAAATTTGTTCTCAGTGAAAGACAAGGTAGCTTTAATTACAGGTGGAGGCACAGGAATTGGTAAAATGATTGCAAAAGCATTCGTGAAGAATGGCGCGATAGTTTATATTGCTTCAAGGAATAAAACAGCTGCTTCAAGGGATAAAACGAGCCTTGATAATGGTATACATTATATTAATTTTCTAGAATTCAATTTATAGATAGATCAACCGTTTTTATTTATAATAATTATACTTTTAAAAAGTTGCAAAGGAATTAACAGAAATGGGTCCTGGAAAATGTTTTAGTATTGAAGCGAATTTGGATTCAAAAGAGGCATGCGAAAAATTGGTGACTGATTTCAAAAATTTAGGAAATGATAAGCTCGATATTCTTATAAATAATTCTGCTACTTGGCATGAGTCTACTTCTTTGATGGATATTCCCGAAGATGCGTGGGATAGAATCTATAATCTAAATGTTAAATGCGTTTTCTATTTAACAATGGCGTAAGTAATTTCATATATTTTTTGTATGGGTGTTTGTATCTGCACGTATTGATATAAGCTAATGCTAACCTTAAGGATTTATATACACTAGTTTTTTACCATTACTCGAAAAGGCCAGTAAAAAACTTGTTGATCCATCAAGGGTTATCATAACCGGAAGTATTCTTGGTATTGTCTGTCTTAAATAACGATAATACTAGAGTTGCTGGTGAAACTGAAACTCTTGGTGAATGTAGAGAGTGTGGCACGGCAAAAAAAATTTGGCATATGACATTAGCCAAAATTTAAGCCATGCCATACGATAGACATGCCATAATATAATTAAATTTCTTTTGGAATATTTCGGACATTTGCTTCACATTTTCTCTTATAATTTTACGTTGTTTGATTTTCTACGTGGAATATTTCAGAATATTCAAATATCAGTTTAACCAGAACAAGTCATATCATATAAGTGGCATGCCTATAGACTATTTTAGTTGGTTTTGAGCATGTCCATGACCACCGTGTCGCATACCCTAGGTGAAACTAGTAAAATTTAATATAACAGCTAATCAAATTTTAGATTGTCACCAGTTTCACCGGCAATAACAACAGCTTCAGATAGTACTTGACACATATTAATAAATTTACATAATTTAGGTATTGGTGAGGGAGAGCTCAAAGGAATGCAAGCACTTGGATTATATTCCTTACCCTATAGTTCCTCCAAATCTGCTGTACATAGCGTTGCAAAGAATTTGGCTGTGCATCTTACGTATGAAATTATTTTCTTAAATCTTTTATACCTTCATATTTAAACTTTTAAGTATATCTTTTTTTAATTAGTCCACAAGGAATAAATGTCAATGTTTTGGCTCCTGGCATTGTTCCCACATTTCCTAGTGATGCTAAAATTAATGAAATACGTCTTAGTGATATTCCTCAAGGTAAATAGTAAACATTAAAATTTGTCCCATTATAATTATATTACTTTTATTGCTCAAAATTTCGTAAAATTTTTATTTGATTTAGGTCGTCCTGGGGGAGAATTAGATATGGCTGGAGCTGCGATATACTTAGCTTCACGTGCTGGTAGTTGGATATCTGGTATTGAACTTGTAGTCGATGGTGGAACTCTTTTACAATATAAATTAACCGATGTTCAACGAGTGCCATTACCTTCGCTACCTTCATGAAAAAATATGTATTCGGCACTAGCTAATCATAATTAAAAATAAAATCAGATAACTATATCAGATTTGTTAAAGCTTACTGTTTATTCTTACTATGTCGCAAAGAATTATTATTATTATTATTATTATTATATTAGATTACATATACACGTGTACATTGTAGAAGTTTTATCCGATTTATTTGTTTTATTTCTTCATTGTTTGTTTCTATGTAATTGAAAAGTTATAAACGACCATCACTTATCTTCGATAAAGAATAACTCATAACTCATTTAAGAGTCCAATATCACTAGGCCCTACTCAGTAAAATCTGCGTTAACGGCAGGAATTAATAACCAAATCCCGTGATTCCGTATATACAGTGCGGGACAGCTAAAGATATCCAATTTGGTATAACTTTTTTAAAACAAGTTAAAATCAAAATTCCTCTTTCAAATTTACTGTCTTTTTATTCAAATAACAAATCTGAAAGAGGGATTTTTAAAATTTTTGATTTTAAAAAATTTATAACAATTTAAAATATTTGATTTTTAAAAAATTTGACGCGTATATATGATTTTAAGAATTTTGATTGGTTATATTTTATTTTTTGTCATTTTTATTATAAATTTTTTTTCTAAACTTTGGCACATCACGGAAAAGTGCTGTCCCGCACTGTAGTATAAACCCTAGTTACTCATTCTATACAAGAGTGTCTAAATTGTTATTCTTAATAAAAAGTTATTTCAGTCTGTTGAAATTAATTCTCCTTAGTAGTGAAATTAATATTCATAGTTATCAAAATTTTTAGTGAAATTATTTGAATTCTTTATGTCAAATACATTAGGTAGTATGATTGCTTTGTGAATTCATAAAAAAAAACTAGCACTGTCAAAGTTTTTTGTCAAAGTAGATTTTTTTAAAAAATAATTAAGACATCTATATATAATTTGACCCAAGTCTTTCTACTTTTCAATTGAAGTCTTATCATTACTAAAGCCTAGTTAGAGATGTTTAGTTAATATTTAGTGTTGTGTTATAGTGTATTTTTGTATTATAGAACAAATCTGACTTTTATAATATGCATAGGTATACATATACATGTAAGGAAAACTATTGTTTAGAAAAAGAAAAAAAATTAAATATTAATACAGAATCAGTTTATATTAGAATGTATCTTTTCGCTTTTTTGAGTACTTATAATTACTTTTTGCTATATTTACTCTTCTATTTAAAACTAATATTGTTTGCATTCAAGTTTGCTTTAAACTTTATTTTTGGTTTTATTAATTATGAATTATCAAAGTATTAACAACTAATAATATCATTATTGTTGTTATATTGCTATATCTAATTATTAGTTGACAGTTATAACTATATTGTCTAATATTAGAGCAAGTGTTACAAATAAATGATTTTTTAATATTATTTTATTAGCATCACCAAGATAAGTTTAAATTTAAACATTCTGAATTTTTCAAATTTTTTTATTTACTATTTTGCATTTGATTAGTAAGTTTCTACACAAAAAAAAATGATAAATAGGCTAGTAATGATAATATTATATACTTAAATTGCCAAATAGGTTTTATTATTTTTAATTTTCATTAATTCTATCAATATTACAAATAAAATATTATTACTAGCAAAACAAATATTTAATAAAAATATTAATAAGAATTAAATTATTATATTAAACTATTTACAGTAGAGTTAGAAAATAATTACAAAATTATCTATTTTAATAAATAGAACTATTAGAGTTTGACACAATTAAGTACACTTTGACCCAATGTCTTTATTATATAGAAATATTTAGTTATTAAAAACAAAATTATATGTTTTAATATATTTATATTACAAAATTTTTATTATTTCAAAATATTCATTATATAAAAATTTATTATATTAAGTATGAACTGTATATATTTTTAATATTGAATATAACTAATCATAATCATATAATAGTTTTTATATAAAAAAATATATATGCAAAATTTAAATTAAAAAAATTGTAAAACATATGAAATATTAAATTTTTTTTAACCTTAGGCAATTATGTTAATACTTTATTAAGATTCTTAAAACTATATATATACATAATTATATAAAAGTTTCTAATATATAAGTTTAGCATTAGTCAGTTATTCTAATAATATCTAAGTGCAATCTGTTGCACTATCTTAGTTAAAGATAAACTGCTTGTTTAACTATTTAAAGATATACTAGAAGGGCTTTTTTTCTTCTGTAACAAGCATATTAATTGTCTTCAATGCTTCTTTTTTTACTTATTTTAATTTTTTCATTTTCTTTTTTTTTTATTTTCTTTCAATATTTTACTTTTTATTTTCTTTTCTTTTAATTTTTTTTCTTTATTATCTTTTTTTATTTTATTCATTATGTTGAAATTTTTTTTCTATTCTTGTACTTTATACATCAAACTCTCTATATTTGGTTATAAAAAGTGTTTTATGCTGTTCTTGTTATTATATTTGTACATTTTTGTGTTGCATTTTTGTTTAATAACTGTTTGAACTCTTTTTTAATTTTCAATATTGTGAATCCTTTTATTAGTGCTTTTTTGTTCTTAATTTTTTTCTTTACTGTTTTTACAAAAAATCTTTTATATAGTATTTGTACAGAATTCTATCTTTTTCTTTTTTTTTAAGATCATTTTATACTGTTTGCACTAACATTTTTTGAATTGCTTCTATAAACTTCTTTGTTTGTTATAGCTTGTCATATATGCTTGGGTTTCTTTCTTTTCATCTTTATAAACCTAACAGTTTGTCATTATATATACTTCTGGTTTTCATTTATTTAATTCTTCTAATATTGATAAACTGTTCATTATATACTAGATTATTGTAGTTCTTTTTGTACTAAGTCTTCTTAATATATAATGTATTTTTTTTATTCTATTTATTTCTTTTCAAAAATTTGACCAGTTGTATAATGTCTGTTTAGTTTTGGTTTTAGTATTCTGATTGAATTTGTTTTTCATTAACTGGTTCTAATTTTGGCATTTATAATTATTATACAAAGAAGTCTTATTAGTATATTAATCTTTTTGTTTTCTTATTCTAAATAATACTTTATTCTATTGCATTTAATCTTTTAGCATATAATATTTTTTGGTACTTGTTTCTTTCTTTATGAGTGAATCTGTCTTGCCATTTTATTTATTTTTACTATAACTTTCACTTTAACTATTTCTATTTTGATGTTCTTATTTTTTTATTTATTTTTTTTTAAATTTTTGGCAGCCTTGCTGATCATCTTTATTAAGAGTCTTATATATATAATTTGTACAAAGTTGGCTTAAATTCTGGCTCAACATCCTCTAGCTGCTTCTATAAGTACCTAGGAGTGGTCTGCTGCACTGGCTAAACAGTGGTCTGACCAGAGAGCTATACCAAGCTAGCTGTTAGAACAATAAAAAAATGGTCTTATTTTCCTTTCTATATAATCTCTAACTGAACTGAACTAAGAACTTTGTATTTTTTCTTCTTCTTTATTTTTCTTTTTTTTTATAGCTCAGTCTTGGTTCTTCTCTAAAACTCTATTATCTACCTCTTTTATTACATTTCTTATTATATCACTTCTTGGATTGTTATCTTTCTTTTTTTTGTCTGCAGAGCTAATTCCATTTGCTTTTTCCTATTTAATAACTGCTTCATAGCATTTTTTCATATATTTTTAAAAAACCATTTCATGCTGCATTTGTCTATATTGTTATAAACTCTTTAGCTTCTTTGAGAGTTTGGGTAAGGCTTTCTATTATTATTTTGGTTTTTTCTTGGACTAGCCCTTTCATGCTTTTGGATCTACATTCTTTTTTAACTTCTGCTAAATCTCTCCATAAGATTTTCATTAGTTCTAATTTGCTTGCTTTCTTCTGAGTTTCTTCTGAGAGCACTGTCCAAGCCAAATTAATAGCTAAGTTTTCTGTAATGGCCCAACTATTTTTATAACCTTTATATATATAGCTAAGTTTTCTTGGTCTTCTTCTTAGACTTTATTACAAAGAATACAATATGGTATTTTATATATGTTAGGATGTCTTTTTACTAGAGTTTTCAGTACTGGTAGTTTTTCATTAACATATTTGATTAAAGTTGCAATTTCTCTATTTTTTTTCATACTCATATATCTAACTTTGCTATGACTTCTAACTTTTTTCCATAGTAATGACCAGTCATGTTTTTCTTTTTGTTTATTTGGTTCTAATTTTTGGACAGTTGATGTAAATTGCCATTCTGAACTAATCTTAAAATCTAAGATATCTTTAACAAATTGTCTTGGCCCTTTTACAATTGTTTCTTTCCAGCAAAGTGATATGTTTGAACTAGGTAGTGGCATAACTATAATCTTATCTTTATTTTCTATACTACTTCCTTCTTTTGCTATTTTATCTACTCTAGTATTCTATTTGTTATCACTATATCTCTTTACTTTAACTAATTCTAATTCTATCTTTTTTATTTCAAATAGCTTTATTATACTTTTTTTCAAATCATAGTTCTTTTCTTTGATTCATTGTCTGCTTCTTTTTAACTTTTTTTCTTTTTTAAGACCTGATATTGCTGCAGCACTATCTGTATAAATCTTAATTCTTCTTTTTTTTGGTGTTAATAAAATTACTAACCAAATTAAAAGTAGTTCTGATTTTGTTAATGAGAGCCAATTTTAGGTGCCTATAGCACCTTTATTGATTACTTTTTTTTCTTCTGTATCTACTTGTATCCAGTCTGCTTCCATGTAGTCGATATCTGAAGCATTGTTTGTTGCTGCTTTTTTGAGTGAACTATCAGTATAGAAGATAAGTTCATTATTTGTATTTAATTGTTTTTTTTAGTTCTTGGAGATAAGAAGTTCTTTTATCTCTTTACTTAGCTGTTGTTTTTTGATCAATTTTATGTCCAAATCATGATATATTATAATTTTGAGCTATGTTTTTGATTTTTCTATTTTAGTTCTCTTTCTTGCTGCTAACTATATATCATTTCTTTGTCTATTATAAG